ATGCCTTCAACCAAATATATACCAATAGGACGAGTGTTCTGTTATGCTCATGCCTTCAGCCAAATATATACAAATAGGACGAATGTTCTGCTATACTCATGTCTTCAACCAAATATATACCAATAGGACGAGTGTTCTGCTATACTCATGCCTTCAACCAGCTATATACCAATAGGACGAGTGTTCTGCTATACTCATATATACCAATAGGACGAGTGTTCTGCTATACTCATATATACTAATATTGCAAGTTTTCTGCTATACTCATATATACCAATAGGACGAGTGTTCTGCTATACTTATGTCTTCAACCAAATATATACCAATAGGACGAGTTTTCTGCTATACTCATGTCTTCAACCAAATATATACCAATAGGACGAGTTTTCTGCTATACTCATGTCTTCAACCAAATATATACCAATAGGACGAGTGTTCTGCTATACTCATGCCTTCAACCAAATATATACCAATAGGACGAGTGTTCTGCTATACTCATGCCTTCAACCAAATATATACCAATAGGACGAGTGTTCTGCTATACTCATGCCTTCAACCAAATATATACCAATAGGACGAGTGTTCTGCTATACTCATGCCTTCAACCAAATATATACCAATAGGACGAGTGTTCTGCTATACTCATGCCTTCAACCAAATATATACCAATAGGACGAGTGTTCTGCTATACTCATGCCTTCAACCAAATATATACCAATAGGACGAGTGTTCTGCTATACTCATGCCTTCAACCAAATATATACCAATAGGACGAGTGTTCTGCTATACTCATGCCTTCAACCAAATATATACCAATAGGACGAGTGTTCTGCTATACTCATGCCTTCAACCAAATATATACCAATAGGACGAGTGTTCTGCTATACTCATGCCTTCAACCAAATATATACCAATAGGACGAGTGTTCTGCTATACTCATGCCTTCAACCAAATATATACCAATAGGACGAGTGTTCTGCTATACTCATGCCTTCAACCAAATATATACCAATAGGACGAGTGTTCTGCTATACTCATGCCTTCAACCAAATATATACCAATAGGACGAGTGTTCTGCTATACTCATGCCTTCAACCAAATATATACCAATAGGACGAGTGTTCTGCTATACTCATGCCTTCAACCAAATATATACCAATAGGACGAGTGTTCTGCTATACTCATGCCTTCAACCAAATATATACCAATAGGACGAGTGTTCTGCTATACTCATGCCTTCAACCAAATATATACCAATAGGACGAGTGTTCTGCTATACTCATGCCTTCAACCAAATATATACCAATAGGACGAGTGTTCTGCTATACTCATGCCTTCAACCAAATATATACCAATAGGACGAGTGTTCTGCTATACTCATGCCTTCAACCAAATATATACCAATAGGACGAGTGTTCTGCTATACTCATGCCTTCAACCAAATATATACCAATAGGACGAGTGTTCTGCTATACTCATGCCTTCAACCAAATATATACCAATAGGACGAGTACTCTGCTATACTCATGCCTTCAACCAGATATATACCAATAGGACGAGTGTTCTGCTTTACTCATGACTTTAACCAAATATATACCAATAGGACGAGTGTTCTGCTATACTCATGCCTTCAACTAGATATATACCAATAGGACGAGTGTTCTACTATACTCATGACTTCAACCAAATATATACCAATAGGACGAGTACTCTGCTATACTCATGCCTTCAACCAGATATATACCAATAGGACGAGTACTCTGCTATACTCATGCCTTCAACCAAATATATACCAATAGGACGAGAGTTCTGCTATACTCATGCCTTCAACCAAATATATACCAACAGGACGAGTGTTCTGCTATACTCATGCCTTCAACCAGATATATACCAATATGACGAGTGTTCTGCTATACTCATGCCTTCAACCAAATATATACCAATAGGACAAGTGTTCTGCTTTACTCATATATACCGATAGGACGAGTGTTCTACTATACAAATATATACCAATAGAACGAGTGTTCTGCTATACTCATATATACCAATAGGATGAGAGTTCTGCTATACTCATGCCTTCAACCAAATATATACCAATAGGACGAGTGTTCTGCTATACTCATGTCTTCAACCAAATACATACCAATAGGACGAGTGTTCTGCTATACTAATGCTTTTAACCAAATATATACCAATAGGACAAGTGTTCTGCTTTACTCATATATACCGATAGGACGAGTGTTCTACTATACAAATATATACCAATAGGACGAGTGTTTTGCTATACTCATATATTCCAATAGGATGAGTGTTCTGCTATACTCATGCCTTCAACCAAATATATACCAATAGGACGAGTGTTCTGCTATACTCATGCCTTCAACCAGATAGACATTATAACACCATGTTTGCTGCTCCACAAATTTTGACGATTCTCGTAGGTTGTGTTGGGACGTCATATTTTTTAACATTTTAACTATCACATGGATTTTGAATGTGTTTTTTTAATAATATATATTAATATGTATAGCCTGTTACATTAAATTAAATATATATATCACTTAATACGTTATTTGTCAAAAATTGCCAAAATGTACGAGTGACAATCGAAATGTTCTGCCATTCCAATGTTGCTGCGTAGAAATGAGACCAGTTCCGACAATGTGTTATGTAGGTATGGCCTATGCGCAGTCGCGATCTGCTCTACTCTCTGCGGTCTGCTCTACTTGTCGCACATGAACCAACATAAGGTTGAATTACAAATAACTTGCTGTTTAATTCTTCAGACCAAAACAAAAATAAACGACGTGACATTTTTGCGAGCTTGGATATAAAATGGATGTGGATAACTCACCTTCACAGACGTTATTGATGTTGGTGTATCCAGTCTTACACGAACATTGGTAACTTCCTTTGGTGTTAAGACAGTCAGCATTGTCTCCACAAAAACCAGTTAGACATTCATTTATATCTAAACCAATAATCAACATGTTAACATGTTAACAAAGGATTCATTTGGTATTATCTAAATAACATCGTATACAAATCACAGTACTTTGAAAGAGTGTTTTATTTAGAAGCTGTTACTATAACGATTGGATTTATAGTATTTATTACAATCACAACCTCTTTATAATTTTATTCCTTTCATATAAAAACACAATAAAGCGTGTTATATATATATAATGATTGAATTCCGCAGGAAGAACAATAAAATGCAATATATGGAAATAGTGAATTGTCTGACCTTCACAGTGAGTGATCTTGTCTTGGAAGCCGTCTTCACAAACACATTGGTAGCTACCCACTGTGTTACTGCATTTGGAGTTAGAATGGCACGTCGCTTGACTTTTACATTCGTCTACGTCTGTAAGTGAACGATCAACAACGACTAGTCGCTAGAAATGTGAAGTGGACAACTCATACTGTTTGTTTACTTAAAAGCGATATCACGAGTTGTGAATTATATTTAACAGACGGCGATAGGTACAACCTTTGATTGTACATAAGTGATAACCAATAAGAAAAGAAGGGTATACTTTCCATTGCCAATCTGGTAGGAAGAGCAGTGGACAATTGACATTCTATTTAGTGTTTGTTTCTCGTGAGCGAGGTGATATTTCTCATAAAGATATTACATCAAATGAATCATTTGAAATAAATACAGATAGTGGACTGTGGAGGTATGGATTCTGTTCCATGCATGGATTTTGCTATTCAATGATCATTTTAATTATTTTCGCATATGAGAATATTCTTAACAAGAAATTACATGATTTTGAAGTGGATTATTTATAAACACGTTATCATTAATATGTAAATTTTACCTGCACATGTGTCATTGGCCTTGTTGAAGCCATTACGACACACACACAAGTGTCCACCGTCAATGTTCACACAGTCCGAGTTAATTGGACACTTGGCCGGATCATTCTCGCATTCATTAATGTCTGAAACAAAGTACAAAAAAAAAACCATAAAAATATGGATATTTCCGTAAGTATAGTTCGATTGTGACCATATTATGAAATTAGTTTTAGACTTTTTCTGACGTACCTAGGCATTTGTCGTCGACACTGACGAATCCATCGTAGCAAGTACACAAGTAACTTCCGTCGGTGTTGTTACAGTGGGCGTGGCCGGGACAAGGAAAGCTAAGACACTCGTCCCTGTCTGTTAACACGAAAGGCATTGGTACAGCATGTATCCTTACAATATACATCACTTAAACCGTGCATAGAGAGCATCAATTAAACCATCACCCATGTATGTGATTGTTAAATGTCTATTTTAAGCGAATAGAAAAGGACATTGTAACATTTTTTAACAAGTGTATCGGTCAAACTCTGAATCAAAAAATTATGAAAACATCTTTTGGCAAACACCACTTTAGTACTGTCGTTTACATTTCTTAGACACATATCAACATCCTACACAATATCTGGCATTGACTTACCTATGCACGCACTATCTAACATCCTATAGCCTGGGTGACAGACACACTGGTAGGTACCTGGGGAGTTGTAGCAGTGAGAATGATCTCCACACGGCCCTCCCAAACATTCGTTGATATCTGTATAATGATAACAGAGGTAGAGTATGCTGTACATAACTTTAGTATAAATGACAATGTTACTTATAAAGCAGAATATATATAGAACATACCTTCACAGCCTTCGGTCGTAACCACGAAACCTGGCTTACACTGACATGAGAAACTGCCTTCGTTGTTAACACAGTCAGAATGAGACGGACATGAGGAACTGGCCAGACATTCGTCCACATCTGTAAAAGAATATAACCTAGTTTTTATCTATGCATGGAAATAGTTGTAATACCAACGGCCATTGTTCTTGTATTTGATGATGTTCAATAATTGCCAGTACATTCATTAATTAAATAAGTAATTTCATTTTTGCAAACGAAGAGGTTATACAGTAAGTTAACTATGTACACTCATTATATATCCGAATACCTTATCGTGATACAGTTGAAACAGTTTTTAGTTCTTATTTGATAATTTTGTTGACAATATAGTACCACTTCTTACCTGTACATTCAGTACGGTTATAGAAGTAGCCCAGTTTACACCTACAAATGGCGGTACCATCCGCCATCTGACATACTGCATTTCCATTGCAGGGCCTTGTGGCGCATAGGTCAACCGTGGCACTCTGAGTTGGCGAAGGATCTTGCAGGTCTGACTCTATGACCTCCTTTGGCTTTGTTTCATCTAAATAATTAGAGCGGATGATGTTGAGAAACATATCCATTGTTCATGTTAAATCAAACGATCAATAACCAACACCAACGGTAGGAACACACAGAACTTCACGAACTTCTAAAACAAAGCAGAACGTGTACTAGCACATGTCTGATTGAATAATGCAATAAGCTACTTACCCACAAAGGATATGACATCCTCCTTCAACATCATAGACGGATAAACGATGTCTCCATAGGCTTTCTTTATGGCTTCTCGTAAGCTGTCTCCTTCATATTGTTTGTGACTCATGACGACTTCATACTCGACATTAATACTGCCCGGTCTGGTGTAATAATGCAATGCACATGTCATATTCAGTAAACGGTAATCTGTGTACGTCAAATATAGCCCGATGTGTCTTGTTAATATCGAAATCAAATTGATAATATATGTATTCTGGATGAATGCATCAAATGTTAAGATTGAGAAAATAGGGCTCTGAAGGACAGCCCATTAGATTTAAAATTATGTTACCTGTTTTGGTTAGTGAAAAGCGTAGAACTGAGTTGAGAATAAGAATATTTGAGAAGCAATTACAAAATGAAAACAAAATGAAATTCTATATCTTTGCAGATCCTACTTCATGCTAAGTGAAATATTACTGGTTAGAACTCGTCTTTTTTTGACAGTTTGGGAAATATATGTAGTAGACTATAAAAATAAACTACTGTGATTAGTTTGTTCAGTCATGTCTGGAGTTGAGGTAACCTGAATGCAATTAATATGCAAATCAATAATTTCTTGCGTGATTAAATAACTACCAGTGGTAAGCTAATTTTGATACAAGATATTACTGTGATGAGATGCATTATATATTTTTAACTTGCAAGTCTCATAATATACGAAAACACATTTGTCAAAAATGTTGTTTATTATTTACGCTTCGAAAATTACATGGACTATACAATTGTATAAAATATGCAATGAAGTTGAAAAAAAAATGAAGTACTTACGAAAAGGTGACAATAGTTATGCTGAAAATGTCTGCTATATGCGCTTCCCTGAACAATTGTAGGATCTAAAAAAAACATACGTTTTCATTTAGTTTCAATGGCATCGCATCAACATGATTTAAGATTTTTGGATTGTGTACTGATGATAACATTTTGGAAGACCAGACATATTATTGACTCGTTTATTAGTATCTGTACTACTACATTCGATGTTATTCTAATCCAAAAACAAAATTTAATATTCACATGAAAACTTACAAAAGCAATGATGGCGTGTTGAAGATCCCTGTATTCTTCCGAGTTAGGATCATCGTAAGCTGGATCCCACTCCGCAACCACAGACATTTCTGCTATGAAAATGGTCTGCGAATCATCCGCCGGAGAAAGAGTCCCAACAGTAAGTGTTAGCGGCTCCGTAACACTTGGACTTTGGCTCGTGGTCACTGGTCCTACCATTGTCGAAACAGAATCCGTTGGCGTTGTTGTGGTTTCTGGTTGGTCATAAGTTGTGGGCACTTTAGTAGCTGGTTCACTGGTGCTTGGGCTTTCTGTTGTTGTTTCAATTGTGCTCTGAGTCTCAACAAAACGTCCAGAATGTGTTGTTGAGGAAACACTTGAAGTCACCTCTGTAAAATTTACGCAACAAATGTCTATTACCAGGCTTTTTTTATTATTCATTTTCACATGATTTTTTTACATAACATGATACAACATATATGGTACATGATTGTTGTTAAAGCCCCTAAACCTTAAGAGTTGTTGCTATTAGTTGTTTTTCAATTCACTATGAATAAATACTTATCAAGCATGTACCTATATACAGAGACAAAAAAGTATACACACACAAACACACAGACACACATACACTTACAGTTACACACCCACACAAATTAGAATATAAATAAATGATAACTAAATAATTGGTATTCGTGACATTAGGTACACAGACAAAACTCAAATGCACACAAAAGACAAGGACATGGGAAACCTAGGTCAGAAAGATGTTACATTTAATATCTTTTAATTTTCAAATTTGCAATCAGTGATGTATTTGTGTGTTAATCTGTTTTTCATTTTTAATGTTACTTTTAGATATTAGAATTTTGTGAGCTTTTAATTTGAATTTGATATGTTTGTTTAGACCATTCAGATTGAGTTCTTTTTCAAGGCAGTTTGATTTATATATGTATTGTTTTATTGTTAGTAATATCAAGTTATCCAAGTTGAAATTTGCATATTTATCAATTTGCTTGCCAAAGATAAATTCTTTTTTATTAAATCGAAGACCAAGACTTTTAGCAATAATAATAATTCTTATATTTTCGATCAAATAAGATACCTTTTCACAATCCCACAATATATGTGTTATTGTTTCTGGATGAGTTTTACAAAAAAATGCACATATTATTATCTAATCTACCAATTTGAAATAAAAAATTGTTTGTGGTTAGAATTCTATGATTTATTCTGATTTGTAACCATTGTAGTTTGGAACTGATACAGGTATTGAAAGGATATTTGTATATATTTTTCTACGTATCTTGAAATTTTGAATCCATTTATTTTGGGCGGTGGGTTTAACTTCATTTTTGATTAATATGGTATATATTTCATGGGCTCCTTTTTACATCTTAGGATTAGCTTGAGATTTATGGGTATACTAGGTAGTATAATATTTTTTTTCTGAATCGAAATCTTGGCAGTTCTTCCTTAAGAACTATCCTATAACATTTTGCAGACTCTGATAAAAAATAGCACGAAATTCTTTTAAGCTGTATAAAGGTCTATCTTTTTTAATAATGTTGTGGATAAAATGTACCCCTTTTTTATACCATGTATTATTGAAGATAACTTTTCGATCTATTTTTATTTCAGTGTTAACCATATTTGATTTTCACTAATATTTGTTTTGTATATTTTGCTTGCATTGATAGTTTTATACCAGGCATCCAAAACATCTTTCCAAAATACATTTTTACAATTTTTTGATATTTCTTTCAATTTCTCAATTCCAATATTTGCTAATTTATGTTTATCAAAACTTCCTAGTTTTCTATATATCCGTCTGATCCAAATTGCTTTAAGAGCAGTTATGGAAGATTTTAGATGTATCATTTTAAGCCCCCCTTCTTCATAGTTTTTTTTATAATTATAACCCTTTTTACCTGATCGGGTTTACTATTCCATAAAAAAATTGTACGATGTATTGTTAATTTGTTTAATATATAAACAAATGATTAAACTGCGATATTAGTAGAGTTTTGATAACAACTATTTTACCTATTGGTGTAAATATTCTTTTGTTCCAGACCGATATTAAAAACTTCAGTTTTGCAAGCTTTTTGTCAGTTTGATAATTCTGTGTAGGTCTACATCATATTTTATGCCTAATAGGGTGAAGCGTGTACTTACCCATTTTAAGTCAAAATTTATAGTAAAAGTGTTTCACCGTATTTTTTGCTGCTAATCCATACTACCTGGGTCTTGGAGAGCTTTTAATATTTCATCTTAAGATTTGTTTGAACCATCTAGAATAACAGACGTGTCATCAGCAAATTGCGAAAAGAGGATTTCCTTTTCCCTGATAAGTATTCCTTTGATATTTTTTTATTATTTTTCAAAATTATTGATAGAATTTCAGCACATAAAATGAAAATATATGAAGATATCGGATCCCCCTGACGGCAGCCCCGTTCTATATTGAACATTTTTGATAGATTCCCCCCTATATTCACTGCGGAGTGTGTATTGTTCTGAAAAAGTTTTATCCATTTGATAATGTTCGGGTCAAAATTAAAATACTTCAAAGTTTTACTGATAAAATATATTACCAGGCATGATAGATTAGATAAAACATGACAACTCTATCTCCAGGTATAATTTATAAGTAACATATTGATTTCATTTTACTAGCAACATGTGGCCACAGTAGATTATACAACATATACCATCAATTAACCTAGAGACTGTAATGAGAGCAAATGCGCTGGATGCATATTCAAATGCTACGAATATATCAACTATATTTCGCCCTGATCACACGTGACACAGCGCATGTAACAAAAGTATTATAGAAACCGAGAAAGCTGCATTCTTTAACATCCTTTTGGCTCAATATCAAACATTATATAAAACACGAATAATTGTCTATAGTTTAGCATCAGATTCAATTCAAACGTGAAAAAACAATTCTGAACATATATAAAAACTTTATTAAAGGAAAACATTCTATATGTCAATAAGTAATCCTTCTCATAAATAGAACGTCGACAGAAGGAAAAGAAAACAAAATGTATAAAGACAAATGCATCGCTGTATTCAGCAGAGCGTTAATAGAAAGGAGGGGGAAACACTAAGCAATGTTTTTCATCAGTATAGCACAGATAGAAGGCATGGGATAGCTGCCGTAAAATATCTTAGACAAAGAAAATAATTTCTTTGAAAATACAATTTCAGAGGAATGTAGTCTATGGTTGTTGTTAATTGTTAAAAGCCAAAGCAGTTGTATTCATGTTATTGTTTTAATGTCCCGGACATATGTTGTGACTGTTTTTCTTATTTTTGCTTTTGACCGTTTTCATGGTAACTTCAGTTGCTCAACAAGCTATGTTGTTCTAAACATGCCATTGGTCACTTTGACTTTTGTAAATTATGTTTGAAAAGCATAAGTATAAGTTGTACCTGATGATGTGGATATGTCGTCCGCAACAGTTGCGGTTGATGTTTGGCCAAGAAGAGAAGAGCGGGATGGTTGGTCGACAATAGTTGTATTTCCTGTTATCATTGTTTGTTCCGTGACCGTTGTGATTGATGTGGTGGAAGGTAGGTCCTCGGGAGTTGTGATTGATGTGGTGGATGTTTGGTCATCGGGAGTGATGATTGATGTGGTGGATGATAGGTCATCGCGAGTTGTGATTGATGTAGTCGATTGTTGGTCCTCAAAAGTTGTGACTGATGTGGTGGATGGTTGGTCCTCGAAAGTTGTGACTGATGTGGTGGACGGGTGGTCCTCGAGAATTGTGACTGATGTGGTGGATAGTTGGTAATCAAGAGTTGTGATTGATGAAGTCGATGGTTGGTCCCCAATAGTTGTGACTGATTTAGACGATGGTTGGTCCTCGAAAGTTGTGACTGATGTGGTGGACGGTTGGTTCTCAAGAGTTGTGACTGATGTGGTGGATGGTTGGTCCTTAAGAGTTATGACTGATTTAGTGGATGGTTGGTCCTCGAAATTTGTGAATGATGTGGTTGATATTTGGTTATTGAGAATTGTGACTGATGTGGTGAATGGTTGGTCCTTGAGAGTTGTGACTGATGTGGTGAATGTTTTGTCAGCGGGAGTTGTTACTGTTGTGGGTGATGTTTGGTCCTTGAGAGTTGTGACTGATGTAGTGGATGGTTGGTGGCCAAGAATCGTGACTGAGGTAGTGGATTATAGTTCTTCGCGAGTTGTGTTTGATGTGGTGGATGATTGATCCCCGAGAGGTGTGGTTGATTTAGTAGATTGTTGGTCCTCAAGTGTTGTGATTAATGTGGTGGATGGTTGGTCCTCGAGAATCGTGATTGATGTGGTAGATGGTTGGTCCCCGAGAGTTGTGACTGATGTGGTAGATGGTAGGTCCCCGAGAGTTGTAACTGATGTGGAAGATGGTTGGTCGTCCTCGAGAGTTGTGATTGATGTGGTGGATGGTTGATCGAGGAGAGTTGTGTCTGATGAAGTGGATTGTTGATCCTCGAGAGTTGTGAGTAATGTAGCTGAGGGTTGGTCCGCGAGAGTTGTGATTGATGTGGTTGATGTTTGGTCATCGGGAGTGATGTCTAATGTGGTTGATGATAGGTCATCGAGAGTTGTGATTGATGTAGTCGATTGTTGGTCCTTGAGAGTTATGACTGATTTAGACGATGGTTGGTCCTCGAAAGTTGTGACTGATGATGGTTGGTCCTCGAAAGTTGTGAATGATGTGGTGGACGGTTGGTTCTTGAGAATTGTAACTGATGTAGTGGATGGTTGGTCGTCGAGAATTGTGACTGATGTGGTGGATAGTTGGTCCTCAAGAATTGTGATTGATGTAGTCGATGGTTGGTCCCCAAGAGTTGTGACTGATTTAGATGATAGTTGGTTCTCGAAAGTTGTGGCTGATGATGGTTGGTCCTCGAAAGTTGTGAATGATGTGGTGGACGGTTGGTTCTTGAGAATTGTAACTGATGTAGTTGATGGTTGGTCCGCGGGAGTTGTGACTGGTGTGGGGGATGTTTGGTCCTTGATAGTTGTGACTGATGTAGTGGATGGTTGGTGGCCAAGAATCGTGACTGAGGTAGTGGATGATAGTTCTTCGCGAGTTGTGTTTGATGTGGTGGATGATTGATCCCCGAGAGGTGTGGTTGATTTAGTAGATTGTTGGTCCTCAAGTGTTGTGATTAATGTGGTGGATGGTTGGTCCTCGAGAATTGTGATTGATGTGGTAGATGGTTGGTCCCCGAGAGTTGTGTCTAATGTGGTGGATGATAGGTCATCGAGAATTGTAACTGATGTAGTCGATTGTTGGTCCTTGAGAGTGATGACTGATTTAGACGATGGTTGGTCCTCGAAAGTTGTGACTGATGTGGTGGATGGTTGGTCCTCGAAATTTGTGACTGATGTGGTAGACGGTTGGTCCTCGAAAATTGTGATTGATGTGGTGGACGGTTGGTCCCTAAGAGTTGTGACTGATTTAGATGATATTTGGTTCTCGAAAGTTGTGACTGATGATGGTTGGTCCTCGAAAGTTGTGAATGATGTGGTGGCCGGTTGGTTCTTGAGAATTGTAACTGATGTAGTGGATGGTTGGTCCGCGGGAGTTGTGACTGATGTGGTAGATGGTAGGTCCCCGAGAGTTGTAACTGATGTGGAAGATGGTTGGTCGTCCTCGAGAGTTGTAATTGATGTGGTGGATGGTTGATCGAGGAGAGTTGTGTCTGATGAAGTGGATTGTTGATCCTCGAGAGTTGTGATTAATGTAGCTGAGAGTTGGTCCTCGAGAGTTGTGTCTGATGTGGTGGATGGTAGGTCCTCGAGAGTCGTGATAAATGTAGATGATGGTTGGTCCTCGAGAGTTGTGTCTGATGTGGTGGATGGTAGGTCCTCGAGAGTTGTGATAAATGTAGTTGATGGTTGGTCCTCGAGAGTTTTGATTGATGTTGTGGATGGTTGATTGAGGAGAGTTGTGATTAATGTGGTGGATTGTTGTTTGAGGAGAGTTGTGTCTAATCTGGTGGATGGTTGGTCCCCGAGAGTTGTGATTGTTGTAGTGGATGGTTGGTCCCCGAGAGTTGTGATTGATGTGGTGTAAGGTTGGTCCATATGAGGTTTGTCTGATGTAGTTGATGGTTCATCCCAAAGAGTTGTGATTGATGTGGTAGCTGGTCGGTCCTCCAGATTTGCGATTGATTTAGTGGATGGTAGGTCCCCGATTGTTGTGATTGATGAGGTGGGTGGATGGTCCTCGAGTTTTGTGTCTGATTTGGTGGACGAATGGTCCTCAAAATGTGTGACTGATGAAGTTGATGGTTGGTCTCGGATATTTGTGTTTGAGGTATAAAATGGTTGGTCCCCGAGAGATGTGATTGATGTAGTGGATGCCTGGCCAACACTGCCTTTGCTTGAAGGCGTTAACATTTGGTCCGTGACACTTGTGTCTGGTATTTCGTCCGTATGAGCTGCACTTGGTGTTTGGTCCGTGGCAGCTATATCTGATACGTGGTCCGTGATAGTTGGGCCTGAAGTTTGTGATGTCTGGTCCGTGAAAAAGCGATTTGATGTAGTTTGACCGATGCTAGCGGTGTTTGACTTAACTGATGTTTGTTCATCAATAGACATGACAGAAGAAGTTCCAGACTCTGTTTGCTGATAATCGACAGAAGTACTCGATGTAAGCAATACTTGGTCACCACTCTGTGTATGTATTTCTGTTGTCGGCACTGTGTTTGATCCAGTACTTGTCACTGATGCTACAATATATGAAAACGTTCACAGATAAATTTGAGAAAACAGTTTTACGCAAATTGTTCTGATGCAAAAAAATATGAACAATTAAGATATAAGTTTTTGTCTCGATTTTAATAAATCTAATTGATAACATTCAAGTCTTTTAAATATGGATGTAATTTATGATATCGTTCCTTAGGTCTATAAACTTGAAGATTGCCAAGTGTTTCATAGTAGAGGTTTCTTGTTGGTTTTGCCCGTTCTTTCATTGATCCTACATGCCATGAATTTCCGGAATTAGATGTGGTTTACATAAAAGGCACTTATATGAGAGTAGCTTTTGTTTATGTGGACATTCGTTTCCAAATTTAAAATATACATGGTCATAAAGGTGCCGATTTATTGTTGTAGACAGCATAGATCCGGTGGTGTCCCCAATATGTGATAGCTGCAGTTGCTCAGATTGTGAACTTTTGGACTCCACCATAGTTCACGGGAAAGTGTCTGTAGTGTCTAGAGCAGCTAAGGTCTGCGAGCCTTTGGACTCCGTCAAAGTAGATCGAAGAGATTCCGTGACATCTACATGAGGTTATAACTGTGAAAATGTGGATTCAGTTGTAGTTGAGGTTGTACATTGTGAGTTCAATAGTATACGAGGCATCTCAAGATCGGAAGCAGATGTCGTCGATGTGTCAACATTATTGGATCTTTCGAGGGTTGTACCTTACTTCAGAAAGTGTACGGTGTACTGCCGATGTACGTGTATCTACTGTAGCTAAAGTATGTGACGACTGTGAAGAAATAGATCTCATTAGAGTAGACGACGATGCCAGTGATTACCTAATGGTGTTGTAGGGGACGACGACGTTTCTACATATTGTAAAGCACTTGATATCGTTTATGGCTATAAATGTCGTTGCCGATGTAGAATGTGCAGTATTACAATAAATGAAGTGTCAACATTTGTCAAACAGTCATACGGGAACAAAGCATCAGTCATATATATGAAATACACGTACTACAGATGCAGAACGTTAACGTAGCAAACTGTCTTATATACAAGTTACATATATGCGGTACAGGAAGCAGGCAAACTAATATAATCCTTATCTCCTGTGTGATAGATAAAGTAGAATCTATCTTAGGGTAAACTTTTAAAAGTTCAGCGCGACGCTTTGTTTTCTGTTTTCAAAATGTTCACTACTATTCTATTTAAGCTTCTATTAAAACAAAATAGCATGTCGATGCTGAAATCCAAAAAAAGAATATATTTCGACTCACCATATGGCTAGTTCACCCATGTGAGACTCATCAGTGGAACTTAAGGTCAAAGCAATGAAAACTCATTGTGCCTTTGAAACTTAATAATTGATTCTTAAATGAGAACGTCATGTAAATTTTAGGAGACTATATTCTAGTTACTAGATTACGGCCAACACTGATAGACCACCAGCAGATTGATTGGTTTTGAAATGTGGTTGCCGGAGTCTTATAACACACTCTTCTGATATTCGGAAGTGTGCAACGGTACTGTATCCGTCAATATCCTTCTATCCACCCATGGACTCCATTTCGTAAACTTCCAATGACCGGAAGGAAATATACTGTATCTTTTAACTCACCGACATCTAAGCATATCCTTCATCATTTTACTACTAATATGAAGTCCGGGAAAGCGTGAAAACGGCTATTTACAATATCATATAATAATGCGATATCCAGAGAAAAAAAAAAGTGTGCCATTGTCCGATAGTCATTCTCCGATCATCTTTATCTACGATAACAAATCGTAACAGATAAAGTTATCGATGACGATGACGTAACAGGTGAAGTTGTTGATGATTTAGATGTAACAGGTGAAGTTGTTGATGATTTAGATGTATCAGATGAAGTTGTTGATGATTTAGATGTAACAGGTGAAGTTGTTGATGATTTA